AAAAAGAAAGAAAAAGAAAGAAAGAAAGAAAGAAAGAAAGAAAGAAAGAAAGAAAGAAAGAAAGAAAGAAAGAAAGAAAGAAAGAAAGAAAGAAAGAAATGGGTTTGGAGCCTCAAGTGTTACCTATGCAGACATAGCAGGTACCTGGTATACATCAGGGATTGTACATGTAATAAGAAATGATCCCTAAAGACTTCTCAGAAGAGGAATAAGAACTATGAACACATAGTATTAAATGGTTTAAGAGATGCACACATAATGTGAGGGAACTGAGATTGTAACTTAACTATTTAGGCAAATGATGTTATGGGGAAAGTAGCATGAGCTAAATGTTGGAGGAACAGGAAGTTCTTAAGAGGGGAAAATATAGGAGGCATGGAGGTCCTCATGCTGACAGATAAGCACTAGGGGAACGAGGAATAGTAAACACACAGGATTGTCTCCTCAAAGGGAGGAATGTATAACCTGTTAAGTTTTTGATCAGTCTGTACTAGGTCATTCCTGTTGTGAGGGGAAACAGAAAACAAAGCTCAGAAGCAGCCGAGCTCTGGTGGGTCATACAGCAGTGGCGCTACCTAATTCAGGCGATGCCACCAGACTCCTCCCCACTGGACCAGAACTGGGCAGTAGAAAGGGTCTCCGAGCTGGAGGACTCTAAGTTCTGCTCAGATCACACGGGAGTGCAGTCTCTGAACACACCTGACTCAGTCCCAGTGGGAAGTGGCTTCAGGGTCCACTTGGCTGGCTCTGCCAAGACCTGCCAAGATGTGTCCTGATGTTGAATATTTGTACACTGGGTGAAGATGTGTTGCTGTGGTTGGTGTAATAAAAAGCTGAATGGCCCATAGCTGGGCAGGAGAGGATAGGTGGGATTTCCAGGGTGAGAGAAAAAGAGAAGAAGGAATCTAGGCATGAGAGAGTTACCAGCCAGATACAGAGAAAGGCAGAATGGAGATGGAAGTAATGAGCCTTGTGGAAGAACATAAATTTAAAAATGTGGGTTAATTTAAGTTATAAGAACTAGTTAGGAACAAGCCTAAGCTAAGGCCAACCTTTTATAATTAATAATAAGTCTTCATGTCATTATTTGTGAGCTGGCTGCCCAAAGAAAAGTCGAACTACAGTGTCCAGCTGACAGTTGTTTTTAATGGTCTTCCTGAGAGGATCCAAGCAATACATTACTGCAGTCCAGGTTGCAAAATAATTGACAGGGATTTTATCCCCCTTCTCTGGGCCCTTTTTGCATTAGCTCCTATGCACTTCCAATTATCAACATCAATGGTTCCTTGTTTAGGAAACCTTGTTTAGGAAATCTTCACCCAGTGTACAAATATTCCACATCAGGACACATCTTGGCAGGTCTTGGCAGAGCCAGCCAAGTTTAGGATTGAATTTTACAGTCATTAGTACAAAGTTGCAGAGCTGTTGCTCTGAATAGTTTGCTCCTCTGGGTCTTAACAGATATCTCAATAATCGTATAAAATGCTTTGCATCAGAGGACTGAGAAGAACCAATGCTAATTTCACATTCTCACAGTTGGGACCCCTTGAGTAAGAGGACCCAACTCCTACCCTCCGCTTCTATTTACAGAAAAAAAATTTACTACCTTCACCAAGGGTCAAGCCCCATACTTTGGGTGGCATTTGTAGGGATCTCTGCAACCACCAGGGCCAACAGAGTGATGATCCAAGGTAGGCAAGAAGGCAGTTCAGTTCAACAAGACCCAGTAGCAGGTGTTGGTTCAAACTTCGACAGTCTGACCTTGTGTAGTTTAGGCATATTTAAGCACAGCACAATTTTGTAAAAAGTGTCCTAGTGGTGATTAACTCAATCCCATATGCACAATAAACTTAAGACATGACTACATTGAAACATTTTGTAAAGTGCAAGTGACATCTTCCACAAAGATAGGTTCTAATAGATTGACTACGAAAAACAAGCTCAAGATAAGGGTCTGGGGAGGATCCAGTGTGGTCTCAACCACACACGTAGTACAAAGGTTACCAGGCTGTTAACCACGTCCACTCCCAGCCTTCTGGGTGGAAACCGGTCCAGCCCTGTGTTTCGAACATTCCTGATTCCCCTAGTGTTATCTGTGAACATAGGGACATCCATGCCTCCTACAGAAAAATATCCCTTTGCTCTCTACCCTAAATCAGTATACTAAGCACACTCTTAGTTACAAATTGCCTTCACTTACAATTTACTTATCTCCTATCTGCATGTCATATATTAAAAACCAGAAGTGTAATGATTCAGTCCCAGTCCTAAAGAAAGACACATCTAAAGAAAAGAATTCACAGCACCTCTTTTAGAATCTGCTGAGGCATTCAATTGTGTATTCATCATCATTCTGAAAATGGACACTGATGAGAAAAGTTATGGAAATAAGATCCCATAGTTCATTCTTGTATATGATTATATTAGAAACTGGTAACCTTGGAAAGATGGCAAGGTTGACCTTTCTTCATTCCCCCTGCCATTTGAAAGTTGAGTCACTGTACCTTACTTACCTACTTCAGATTGTCTTTCCTAAGGCTAGAGTGATGACTGAAAGGTTAAGGGCACTTGGTGCTCAACCATGAGGACCAGAGTTGGGATCCCAACATCCACACAACAAGCTGGTCTTGACCTCATGCATGCCTGTAATCCCAGTGCTAAGTCGAGCAAAGACAAAAAGAACATTGGGACTTACGTATACCTGTGTTGCCAAAAGACACAAGGTCCAATTCAGTGAGAGGCCCTGCTTGAAAAGGAATAAGACAGAGTAATAGAGGAGGAGACCTGATGCCCTCCTCTCGTGTCAGTGCATGAATACAGACAAGCACACAAACACACATGATTTTGTGTGTCTTTCTAAGTCTGACAATTCACTTGGCGTGACTATCTCCAACTTCCCCAAGTTGCTTTGGTTATGGTGTTTCATCACAGCAATAGTAACCATAACTGAGACAGGTGTCTAGGGAAGGCCTACCTTCTAGATCAAAAATGGCTCCTTTTTGTTTCATGGAGATGGAGCAAGAGGTCTCTGCAGCCTCATATATAAGGGTACTAATCTTATTCCTGAGGGCGAAGTCCTAACTATACCCCAAAGTCCCACTTCCTAACACTATCACCTCATAGGTTGCATTAATTACTTTTCTATTAATAATATATATAATACATAACAATATAATAATAAAGCACTATGACTAAGGCAACTTGTAGAAGAGTTTGGGCTCTAGATGGTTGGAGTATACGATGGAGAAGCAAAGGCATGGTGGCAGGAACAGGAAGCTGAGGGCTTACATCTTGAACACAAGCATGAAGCAGAGAATACCAACTGGACTGTCCGTGGGGCTTCAGAACCCTCAAAGCCTGCCCCCAGTGACATACTTTTTCCAACAAGGCCACACCTCCTAAGCCTCTCCAACAGCACCAACAGCTGGCAGCCAAGAATTCAAATTCCCAAGACTATGAGGGACATCTCATTCAGTCCACCACAGAAGTTAAGGCTTCAGCAAATAACATTGTGGGGACAAAAACTGACTAAAGCAGCTACCATTATTGTTCTTGTTATTGCTGCGTTCCAACTATCTCTGGCCTCTAGATTACAGGGGGGGGAACAAAAATAAAATTCACAGAATTATATCGAATAATTGTGCATGTATACATGTAATGCTGGTTCAACATTTATTACATGAAAGACATGTTACTATTCAGCTTTTGGCCGTGTTTCCTCTTAAATGTATGAATTGTTAGTATTATAAAGATTAAAGTGCAGAGAGCCAGCAAGATAGCTCAGTGGCTGTGGTGGTTTGAATAAAAATGGCCCTCATAGGCTCATATATTTGTATGCTTGGTCCCTAATTGGTGGGTTGTTAGGAAGGATTAGGAAGTGTGGCCTAATTGGAGGAGGTATATTACTAGGGGTGGGTTTTCTAGTTTCAAAAGCCATGCTAGGCCTTATCTCCTTCAGACAGACAGAGAGACCGAGCTTGAAAATAAAGGCTCTTTGCTTTTACATATGGAAGTCAGTCTCCGTGGTGGTCTTTGGGGGGTCCCTGCCGTCTGGGCATAACAGTTTCATAAAATAAAATATCAGGATTCTCAAAGCAATTTGGTAGGCATTTTTACCAACTATTCACAACTTTACAAAATAACCAGTTAAAGAATTTTGTCTCGCTGGCGG